GGGGGGGGGGGGGGGGGGGGGGGGGGAGAGAGAGAGAGGAGGAGGAGGACGAGATAACGATGATGAGGACGTCAATGAGGAAATGATGATGATGAGGAAACAACAATGACGACAGGAGAAAATGACGAGAACGATAGTGTATGAGGAAGACCATGACAACGAAACGAAGAGAGAGAGAGAGAGAGAGATTGAAATGTTTTCCTTATCAAAGACTAGTACGCTACGACGTATGTGCGAGCGTGACACAATGTCTCACACCTACGCCGCAACGTTCGCTCAGACTTGTCGTTTCCCATCCCACTGACTCCCCCACTCGTGAACCAGTAATGCGCGGACTATTACGCGTGTTTCGTTCCGTCGGACTCATCAGTGGCTAGACACTCAATGCAAATGTCATAGAAGGACACTCTGGTCAACAGAGAAGAGATAAGGAGGGGTATTGTGGTTTTTCACCCACGGTAGTTGCTGAACCCGTTGCGTGTCTCCACACAAACCATTCTCTCTTCCCTGACGCTGCTCCACAAGCCACCTCCTGCTTCGCTCACACCCTACAGACAACCAATGAAATGTTTCTCTTATCAAAGACTAATATGCTACGACGTACTTGTGAGAGATGCACTCTCTCACACCTACCCCGCAACGTCTGCTCCGCCTTGCCATTTCCCATCCCACTAACTCCCCCACGCATGAATCGGTAACGTGCGAACAATTACTCGTGTTTCGTCCCGTCAGACTCAACAGTGGCCAGACATGCACCGCAAATGTCACAGAAGGACGCTCCTATGAACAATGAAGAGATAAGGATGGGTATTGTGGTTTTTCACCCACGGAAGTTGTTGAACCTGCTGCATGTCTCCACACAAACCATTATTTTCCCTAACGTTGCTCCACTGTTCGCCTCCTGCTTCGCTCACACGCTACAAGCAGCCAATGCAATGTGTCTCTTATTAGAGACTAATACTCTACTACGTACTTGGGAGAGTGACACACTCTCTCACACTTACTCAACAATGTCTGCTCCGACTTGTCGTTTCCCACCCCGCTAACTCCCCCATGTGTGAACCAGTAACGCGCGGACTATTACTCGTGTTTCGTCCCGTCCGACTCATCAATGGCCTGTCACGCACCGCAAATATCACAGAAAGGACGCTTCGATGAGCAGTGAAGAGATAAGGATGGGTACTGTGGTTTTTTGCCCACGGGTGCCGATGAACCCACTGCGTGTCTCCACACTAACCATTCTCTCGTCCTTGATACTGCTCCACAGAGTCCACACGTCGCCTCCTGCTTCACTCACACCCTACAAGCAGCCAATGAAATGTTGTTCTTTATCAAAGAGCAATATGCTACGACGTACTTGCGGGAGTAACGCAATCTCTCACACCTATGCCGCAACGTCCGCTCCAACTTATCGTTTCCCATCCCACTAACTTCCCCACGCGTGAACCAGTAAGGTGTGGACTATTACGAGTGTTGAGAGAGAGAGAGAGAGAGAGAGAGAGAGAGAGAGAGAGAGAGAGCTGCGTGCGCTCCTCCGTGCTGCTCTCCTCGCGCTGCCATTGATGCGGCTGCTTATAGCCTTGCTGTGCTTGCTACACGTCTGCTCCTTGCCTATTGTGCCCGCCTTGTTTCCCTGCTTCTTCCTCCCCCGGGTGATGGCGGCAGTACCGGGCGTGCATCCATTCGAATGTTGTATGGGAAGGGGAGGCAGCCAAACTCACCGACGTACGACTTCGAAATCGCAGCCCGCTTCCACTTACGGGTCGCCGAAACACAAAAAGCCCATTCAAACGATAAGAAAAGAAAGGGAAAAAAAAGGAAAAAAAAAAGACAAGCACATAATAAAATTTTGGTCCCTACCCGATCCCGCTCGCAGGCCTACAAAAATGGGCTCCTATTTTTTGGTGGGTGGCCGAGGACATGATGAAGCGCCCCGGGCCGCCAAAAGAAAAACAGGTTGTTGCCCAAAGTGTCTCAAATCCAGACCAGGATCCGGACCAGTGCACCGATGTCGGGACCTTTGGGTCCCGAATAACGTCCCGACAGTCGAGAGCCTGTATATAGACAAGTTGTGCACGACAGAGAAATCCAAAGAAAGGAAACAAGAGAGATTTGAAAAGACAAATGATTAGGACGGGACTGCAGGAAGGATTGATGCCCTGGGCTAAATACTGCCGTGTGAAGGACCCGGCAATGGCAAGCAAGTAACAGGACAGGGGCGCATAGGGGCATAGTATGGGCAAGGAGGGTTATTCGAATTCGGTATAGCAAGAACCCGAGGGGCCATGAACCAAGGACGCAGGGCGCGGCAGATGGCAAAAGAATATTGAAGTCGGAAGGTGGACGGCCTTGGTGGCCGCAGGACAAAGTGCTGGGGGCCACCGACGGGACATATGTCGGGGACCACCGAAGGGACAGTGTTAAGGGACCACCGACGGGACAAGGTGTCGGGGGCCACCTACGGGACAAAGTGTTGGGGACCACTGATGGGACAATGTCGGGGACCACCGACGGGACAAAGTGTCGGGGTCTACCGACGGGACAAAGTGTTGGGGACCACCAACGGGACAAAGCGTCGGGGACCATCGACGGGACAAAGTGTTGGGGACCACCAGCGGGACAAAGTGTTGGGGACCACCAAACGGAACAAGTCTAAGGATTAGCACGGGACAAGTGGCGGGGACATGAGAAGGTCTCAAGAAGGATTGAGGAGCAACATGAGGAGAAATAATTAAAACAAGGTGTACCGTCAAGATCAAGATCTTGACGACCAAGAATATTAGCACCACTAGTGCGAGTAAATGGGAAGACCAAAAGGAAAAGAAAAAGTAAGAAAATGGAGTGAGTGAAAAATAGACTCCAGAGGGAAAATCGGAGTATGAGGGGTCACTGTGTGAGAGAGATAAAAGGTAAAAGGAGCTCCCATGGGCATGAGGAAGCCATTATTATGAGCATTGGCATAGGGAGGGCCAAAACTAAGAGGGAGGGCCAAGAAAAAGGCCTTAACGGCTACTTGACACTTGGCATGCTAAAAAAAGAAAGAAAGAGAAAAGAAAAAGGAGGGAGGATAGGACATAAGGAGTGAGAGCGAGTGAGTGAGTTGGCCCTCAGTAGGGACTGCCACAAGTAGGGACTGGCAGGTCCTCACTATCCAAAAAGGGAGGGAAAAGAAAAGACAAGAAAAGAGAAAAGAAAAGAAAAGAAAAGAGAAAAAGGTTTTAACGGTAAAAAACGGCCACTTGGGGAGATACATCCGTGACCAGTTACATTATGGAATATGGCGGTTACAAAGGACCTACTTTCTCTTGATTTTGCAGAGAAAATTAAGAAAAATCAAGGCCCTCTGCAACCGAGATATAACGGATTGCATGGGGGAAGAGAAACACATGTTTTAGGTGCATCGAAAGCCAATATTGAGCCCAGATGCACTTGAAAGTGGACCCTTTTTTTTTTTCCAGTTGTGGGCTAGTTGTAGGGCAATAGGACTAGGAAATTGACCCCTACTGCAGTCTGAAGTACAACGGACTGCAAGGTGAGGGGAAAACACATGTTTTATGTGCATCCTGAGCCAGTATTGAGCCCGGATGCACTTGAAAAAAACGGACTGCGTAAGGATGCCTAGACCAAGGGAAAAGTGAGTCATGGCAAGCCCAAAAGGCTAGAAAATAGCGACTTCAGCATGAGACAAATAAAAATGGTAAGCGACGACGGTGAGATGGGGATTTCACGGCCAAGAATAATCGGCACACGAGGCATTTGAAGAAGGGATATTGGAACTACCAAGGACAAAGAAGTCCCAAAATAAAAATAGGATTTCGATCGGGACGATGTCGGGGACTAAATGGGCCCAAGTAAAATATAGTCGAAAATTGGGACATGCGCCGGTAGGACTACCGGCGGGATAAAAAAAATGAAACTAGTACGGGGAGAATGACGGGGACTTGAAACGTCCCAAGGAAACCATGAGCCAACATGGGGAATGGTCACGCAAATCAAACGGCACCGTCGAGATCAAGATCTAGACGGTGGAAAATATTAGCACCAATAGTGCTCAAGTGAGAGAGCCATGAGAGAAAAAAAAGCAAAATAATGATGATGGAAGGGTTGCCCGGCAGTCCGAGATATCTCGGACTAGCTAGGCATGAGAAAATAGAGCCCCAAAGGGCTCTGTCAAAAGAAAATCGGAGCAAAGCGGGGTCAAAATCAAGACTAAGGGAGGCAAAATGGAACCCCCATGAGCATGGGGGTGTCATTATTGTAATCTGAGATATATCGGCCAACTGCCGAGTCTGAATCTGGCCATAGATGAGGATCCATGGCCTAGAAAAAGACTCGATAACCACTTGACACTTGTCACATCAGAAATAAAAGAAAAGAAAAGAAAAATAAGAAAAAATGGAGAAAGAATGAGACAATGGGGAGAAAAGAGTGGAGGAGAATGTGTCGGCTTATTGGAACTGGCATAATAGGGACTGGCAGGTCCCTACTGTGACCTAATCCCTCCACATTCAGTGGAGGGCAATCCGGATTGCAGAGATATGGCTTGGGGCAATATCTCTACAAAATTTGAATTAAAAAGAGAAAATTGAGAGAACATGCAAAGGAAAAATGACCGGTTTTCTTTTGGGTCGTGGATCTGAGATTTAGATCCATGGAGGAGGGAATACAGCCGTTTTTTAGGAGATTAACTCAAACGGCCAACTCCGGAATGAGTTGGCAACCCAAAATGGAAAGAAACAAAGGAAAGAAAAGGACAAAATTGTGCATTTGGCCCAAACGGAAGTCCAGATGCACCAAAAATTGAAAAAGTGAGCTTAGA